TTTTTTTTAAAAAAAAAGGTATCAAGCTCTTAAAAAATCACCCGTTACTATCTGAAATTAATGGGTCGATTATGGATAGCAATCGAAATCAGTTGCGTTGGCTAGTTGCCAAAACGATGTTACAGATAGCAACTGGCAACTTTCAACTGACAACTGCAGTTGCTACACAGTGTGTATACAGGCGAGTACATTTTTGTTGTTGCTGGGAATGTTTTGGGAGCGTATTTAGGAGCGAAAATTGAAAAATGTGTTATATATTTTACTTTTTAATAATTTGAACGATATTAACATTTTGCAATGCAATGCTTTTACAGAATATGGTGAAAATAGCAAAACAATAACTAGAAATTTTATTAGTCCCCGTGGAGGACGCCCTTTGGCGAAACAAAAGCGAACACTGATTGCAAATTTTTTCCTTTATCAACTGAAGCACCTCTTTTAAAACTACCGACACACCAAATTTTCCAAATTGAAGTCTGAATTGAATTGCTGTGACACTTCCTTGTGCGAAAAATCGAAGAGGTGCACAAGCTTTTATGAGCGGAGGTAATGAAGTTGAACGAAGAGGTTCATATCACAATATCAAAACGATAATAAAAGAAAAACCTTGAAAGCATTAACATTTGTTTACAGTGCACGCGGTAGCTCTAGAGGATTGGAATTATCCTTTAAATGTCGCCTGATTGAGGCCGCGCTCATGTACTTCTCCTCCTCTTAAACTCATAATTGTGATGAGCATAGCTTTATTGATGTCTTTTCTGTAAAACTCTTTAATTTAATAATTCAATTTTGCTCGCACAGCTTGTTTACAGCTCATTTAAGGGCAATCGCATAAAATTTGTCGAAGCTAGGTGAATTTACAGCCCTATAGTGTTTATGTACCGGACTTTCAGTTTTTTTGAGCTGTGTGGCTAAGAAATTCATCAGTATTTATTCAAAATTTATACAATCGCTCTTTAGCGAATAAGTGGTTTTTTCAGGAAATTTTAGGAAAATGGGGGTGGCACCGCCCACTTATATTATATGTGCGTACCTCAAAAACTACTTGACCGATATCGACCAAATTTGGTATACATGTGCACTAATTTATTAATAATTTCAGTTTGAAATATGGTATTTTTTGCAAGTTTAATAGCTGAGCTGTCAAACACAAAAAAATAACCACGAAAAGGTGTTCAGCCTCTCTTCTTCGGCAACACAGAAAGGTAAATTCTACTAACAGGTCTATTCTGCACGTTACCGAAAATCCAGTTAAAATATTCAGCTATGAAGAATTGTGGAAATTCTGGCATTGCATATTTCATGGGGCAATACTTTGTTACCAGCTTATGAGATGGTAACAAAATTTACCGATTACAAAAGTACACAAAATGCGAAGAGGTTTAAAATTTGAGAGGAACTTTAGTTGCGTTCCTTAACTCGCAAGATGTTGCAAGAATTTACAGGAATTTACCAGAAAGCGTTCCCGTACTTGGTTCTCTGGCTTCTTTTGCCTTTTGACAGTTTTACAGGTTTTAACCCAGAAAAGTTGGGGAACGCAACTTTTATTTACCGGTTACAAAATTTTTATTACCAGCGCCAAATAGACTTGTAAGTGAGCGTTATAATCCTCTTGCAAAAATTCCAATTTCCCCTATTTTCAAACATCTCCCAACATGTCTGTTTGGGGTGGGAGGGATGACTTTTCATAAAGCGCGGTCCAACCTCTTTCGTTTAGGGGGATTTGGGGTCACGGATCCTTTCCCTCCGCCCCCACCAAAAATCGTTGTGCAAATAATTAAACATTTCCCTTGATCTTTTTACATGTGTAAACTTTATTTATAAATTCTAGTGTGTAATAAAAATGTTGAGGATGATTTAATCGTGCCACACGCAATCCCATCTACTCCTTAGTAAAATATACTGACATTTTTACCAACTACCGTTTGACAAAACCTCATCGATTTGCTCACATTGCCCCTCAATAGCATTTTTCAACAACTGAGCTTCCGTTTCCAATTCCATTTTTGTCGATTCTAACTTAAGTTTGTAGCTCTTAACTTCACTGTCCAGCATAATCAAACTCTTTTGATCTGCTACTGCTTGCTCGAAACGCGTCCACCAATCATGCTGTTGTCGATCGGTATTCGGCGATTGCCGTTTATCTGGCTCTGTATGCAGCTCAACATGAAATGTTTCTGCATCTTTGAGGATTTCTTCTACGGTTGGTGGAGAAGGTGGTCGTAGACATTTGGAATTTTTGGATCTTTTCAACATTTTTAAAAAGTAAACAAACTTTCAACTATTGGGGCGATTTGTGTTATTCCTTTTTTTTTTTTTTGGATATCGTTAGATCTATATCCGTAGATCCGTA